TTATTGTAAATGAAGCAGAGTTCAGACCGTCCGGCTGTGCGTCATCTGTTGGATGCCTGCCACCAGCTAATGCAGGCGTCCCACTGGGAGACCAGAGAAGAACTATACTTTGATTCACCAGATTGTGTTAAATAGTCCAGCTGTTGCGATTTGAAAGATAGTTACCTCAGAAGTGAAATAGAAATGAACTTGGCATTTATGCCTCAAACCGTTTTTATACTGTTTGGCAATCAGCTTTTCAGAGGTAGCATTTTATAAAATAACTCTCACCGCTTAAAAGTTTCGTTCACTGTAATGTTCAAAATGTCCCACCTTTATATTATCAGTAAAATTAAGCTTGAGTGATATGCAAAATTTGCATGAAATAAGCATTTTCCCCCCTTCATTTCATGAGCTTTGATTGTATTCAATTGAGCTCAGAACCATGTCTATTAGGGCTCTTTGGGGGCATTAGTTAATTTGAATTGCAGCCGAAATGTTAGCTAGAATGTTGTTGAATATAATTGGAACATGGAAAGTTGATTTTGAATGGAATTTCATTGAATGCAAACAATGATGTGCTTTTTTAAGAATTAGAAAGCTGCACTTTCATCTCTTGTAACACAGTCTGAGAAATCGGAGTCCCTTTATTATAAAGTTCAATTTTGGGCATTACCGTTTGCAATTGTTCTGATTCTTCTGGTACCAGTATCAGCTGGAGTCAGGTTTTTCGTTTTACTAGCAAGCGCCCCATCTGCCCCAGTCTCACCTTCTGGCCCTCTTGCAGGTGGGGAAAAGTAACTGCTTTCTGAAAGGGCGACCAAGTTGTGTTGAGTTGGCCAAAAAATTCATTTGGGTTTTTCCGTAAGATGTTATGGGAAAACCCAAATGAATTTTTTGGCCTGCCCAATACTTGGGCATTAGGCTTCATGGAGTGGCATAGATTAGTATATTTTCTCCTAGCTTTTATTTTGCTTTTCGGTTTTTCTTTTTGTCTTGGACTAGCACTTAAATGATTGAAAATGACTCACAAAAACACCTATTTGAATGGATCAAAAAATCACTGCTACTTTGTTGTGGTAAGAAAAAAAATATTTGACAGAAAGTCAAGATGCCACAATGTTAATCCTTATCTGCTATTAACAAATTGTGTGCTCACACAAGCATTTAACTCACTATTCTTTGGTGTCATCCCCTGATAAATGAGAAGGATGGACCAGTTCATGTCAGTAATCCCTCTCAGCCTGAACAGTCCATGATTCCAGTCTTCATGTCAGCTCTAAAATTTAAGCTTTGCTTGGAGATTTTGCATCTTACAGGAGAAGGTCTGCCATACTTTTTATGAATACTGACTTCTAATTCCTTATTTGGGATCATTGCTCTTAGACAAATTAAAGTAGAAAAACTGAACCAAACAATGGTATACTACAGTTCCTATTGGATTGTTGTGTTTGAGCACCTGGGATTTTTCACCTTGGGGAGAAGCCTCAGATTTAACCTTCTAGAACCTGCCACTGTTGCTGCCTAGAGTAGGAGCCTAGGTTCTGGGCACCATCACCGGGGGCGCTTTCTGGCTCTTCCCATAAGATGGGATTGGATGTACAGTGAGGAACAGGGTTCCTCATTCCAAAGGGAACTCTGGGCAGCTCCCCCATGGGAACCAGGGATAGACTTAATGATGTCACACCAGGAAGAGCTAGGCTTAAGTCACAAAGGAAAAAAACAAAACAAGGGATAGCTCCAAGGGAGGAATTTTATATTTATCGATCTGAAAGATGCAGGTGAAAGCAATGATTCAGAAAAAATCTGTAAACGTACCAGAATTAGCCTGTGGCATCATCATCGTGTTTCTAGAAGATGCCTTTGGTAAAAAGCTAATGTTGTGGGAGAATCAGGGACAAGGAGATAGGAACTTCTGATTCTTGTTCTAGCTCTGCCACCGATAAGCTGTGTAATTTTAGGTCTTGCTCCTCCCCTCTCCAAACCTCATTTTCCTTATCTGTAAAAGAAACAGTTGGACTAGATGATTGCCACAGTCCCTTTTAGCTTCAACCCTTTGGAATTCCAAGCCAGTGTTCATTATCTTTCAGAAACTAGTTAATTCTGATTCTCAACACATAGATTCAGAGAAGTTTTCCACTGTGCCAAGTTCAGTGATAACCAAAGGAGTTCTCAAATTGGAGTCTACAGGTGACTTAATAATAGGTTAATCTATTATTGAGAAGCCTACTTCAGGAAAGAACAGCAGTTCTCTCGACTGAGACAATTCCAGGAAAATTGCAGCCTGTCCATACAGAATTTCTGAGCTTCCAGTTGGGTCAACATCATTTGTTGCTGTTGTGGAGCCCCAAGAGCACTTCCTGGAAGTTTTCAGCCTCCAGCTGATGAAGAAAGCATTTTTAGGATATGTTCATCACCCCTTCACCTGCAGACACACGTGGGCATGAAAACACCCATGGTAGTTCTACAAAAGTGATGAATGAAGGTCAGTATGGGTTGATGGAAATTGCTCACCTGAAATGAGATGGATACCTCCATTGCATGTGTCGAGCAGACTGGCCGGCTTATCTGCAGTGGGCTTAGACCCAGTGTCATGGAACCAGACTGGGGACTTGACTGGCAGATTTTATGTGACTTTGACTGTAACAGTTTAGCTAGACTGGAACTTCATTTTCTAGAATTCCTTTGAATTCCCTTACCCATTTGTTTCTAGATTAGGCTTTGCCACAAGAGAAATTGGCTCGAGCTTTAGAAAGTGGAAGTGACGTAATAGTCTTTTTTTTTTTTAATTCTCTGAAAGTGTGTTTAAGGCAGGCGCTTTTACTGCTCATGCACATTGTCACCTAGTTGGCATGTGGCACAGCTGCCTCCCTCTCCCCTTCTAGCTGCCCCAAATCTTGGGCCAGATGTATGTGATTCCATGTGGAAGGGCTCCAGGTTTACCCTGAAGCTCACCTGCATCATCAGGATTGGGGATTGTGAGAGACGGGGCTCTTGTTTATCCTCAGCTTCTTGCTGCTTCTCATCTGCACAACCTGCTGATTTCAGGCCCAGCATCATACACAGACTTACATAGACTGCCTGACTGGCTCTCTCCATTGCCTGAGGTCTAACCTATAATGAATCCTTATGCCATTCATGGTGGTTCTGCTTCTCTGACCGTGGATTCGGTCTTTCAGGTGTTCCCTGAGTCAGAGAAGGTCAAGCCAGATACCACTGGGGTAAATTCATCCCACGGTGATTGCCAAAACACGATATCTTAAGAAGTGGATCTTTGGCCAGAGTAGGTGGGCAGTGTCAGAGGTATGTGCTAATGAAAAGGGTGTTGCCAGATTCAGGCAAAAATAAAGGAATCTGTCCTCACTACAGTGTAACATTCCTCTCAGGCCCCTGGTCATCTCTCTGCTTTTACTTCTCCAAAGAAGACAGTTATGTGCTAGTTACTTATTGATGATAATCAAGTCACACAGTATAACTGGAAAGCCTTATAGCGGTTTTCAAGCATTTGGACAGATCTCATAGTGCTGGGTGGTAAAACTGTGGTCCCTGGGTTGGAGTTTTGTTACCTGTGGCTGTACTGTGCAGGCCACTTTGTCTCAACAGTGATCATTTGTTCTTGTTTGCTTTTGTTATACAACAGAGGTATCCAGGCCTGCTCACACAGAGGCCTTGGTTTCTGAGCATTCATTCTGAGCCTTTCACGCACAGTAGTTCATTAGTATTCGCTCATTTGTTTACTCCACAAATGGGTCTGCTCTGGGTGCTGGCGTTTAACTATGAACAAAGCTAAACAGTCCAACTCGTGGATGCTTACATTTTACTTAAAGAGACAGACATTTAACAACTGGTTATTTAACTGTAACTGTGGTAAGTCCAATAAGGGAGAAGTATGAGGCAGTAAGGGAGTGTCAACCAGCAGGTCTGACCTGCGGGTCAGAGAATAATAGACATCAACTCATCAGGGGAACTAGTAGAGCAGTGGGGAGACCTGGCCAGCAGTTCATCAGTACTCATCCTGACATCCAGAGGTGGACATGGGTCAGGGGTGTGCTGGGTCATAGTTAACGTTCTAGCAACCACCAGGAAGAGCAGATAAGTCTGAATAACCTTTGCCTTGCCTGCAACACACCCCTCAACCTCCAGGCATCAGATCAGCAGTCCAGCCCCTTCAGATGGTTGCTCCTGTCCTATCTTCTGAGAGGACTAGGTGCCCACAGCCTAATCTCCTGACACGTGGCAAGAGAAGAGCGTTGCAGGACATCTCCATTTCCACAAGGAAATTATTGCCTATTGAGCTGCAGAAGCAGTAGCTTCTTGCATCAGAAGAGAAGAGAGGAAACTGCCGTGGAAAAAGAAACTGCATTTGAAATTCAATAAGAAATTTCTCAAATATGACTCTCCTTTTTAGAAAAAGTGGTAACTCGGCATTTCAACTGACTCTGTAGATTCTCCCATCCACCCTGGTTCCTTCGCTCATTCCTCCCCAGGTCTGACCAGAGTCGTTCCTGCCAGCAAATGGCAGCAGCTGGCACATCTCTCAGCTGCCCGTGGGGGTTGGTGGTGATTTATTTCCGTCCTCCACGCCGTCTCCTCAGAGCTAATCTGCACCCCCAGTACCCTGGGCACAAGGGAAGAGCTCCTGCCCCCTTCCAGCTAAGCAGGGGTGGGGCAGGAGCCGGGGCAGCGGGCAGTGGGGGGTGTGCAGAGCACCTGGGAGCTTTGAGCTTCTATGAGAAGAGTGTGCGATTAAGCAGGTAGGTGCCTTCGGCTTTTTAACACTTCCACAGTTAATTGCTCTGACTTTTTCCACCTTTCTTCTGGCCTTGTGTTCCTAATATGTAATCTAATAGCTTTTTTTTTTTTTAATGGCTGGCACCTCAAAGACCACTTTTTGCATGTTGATTAGACTTAGAATGTTTTGGGGTTTTTTGCTCCTCTAAATCCAGGAATACGGAAAGATAAATGTTTTCTCTCTCTGCTTTTAATTTTTTGTTTGTTTGTTTAACTGTTTCACCCCCTAGGCCTCCCAGTAACACTGGATACAGGAAACAATACATTGGCAGTGGAAAACAAGCCAAACCAGTTGTAGTTTTAGATCCTGTTTCCACATACAAACCCCAAACCAAAGACCAGGTCGCTGAAAAAGATCCAGCTCAACACAAGGATGATGAAGGTGAAACTAAACCAGGATACAAACAGAAAGTGAGAGATACCAACAGCTCCAACTGCTGATCCATAAACCGAAGGCTGGCGTGTTCGGAAGTCCTTCTGTAATGAGCACATGATTAGTTTTGGTGTATTGGCAAGGGCTATAGACACTCTGTTCTTGTCACTGTATTCAGAATATAGGTTCTTTTCTGATGTCACTTTTGTAAGTAGTTCACCTATAAATATAAGTAAGCTATTTAGCAAAATACACATTCTTTGTAGCTTTTTTCTGTTCATAGGGATAAGACTTTTTTCTAATTACTGTATTAAATGTGACTTCTTTTAGAAGATAACAAAAAATTCAGATGTTATCTTCTTAGGTAATGTGTGTACCGCTAATCAAATGTAATGATGAAAGGTTGCAGCACTTGTGTATAATTGGATAAACAGAACTGACTAGCTTAAGGTGATTTTTTTTTTAAAAAAAAACCCAGAGAAGCTTCTGTTTTGCGTATCTGATCTTTTTTTTTTTTTTTTTTTATGGAGAAACTTCAGTAGCATGGAACTTGTTAGGCACTGTGGTATACAAATTACTTTCTAGGATATACTGAGATAAGCTTAAAATTTCAGGAGCTAATGTCAAGCTAGCAGTCCCATCAAGGCATCTGGCCCCACTGAAGTGAAGTCGCTCAGTTGTGTCCGACTCTTTGCAACCCCATGGACTGTAGCCCACCAGGCCCCTCTGTCCATGGGATTTTCCAGGCAAGAGTACTGGAGTGGGTTGCCATTTCCTTCTCCAGGGGATCTTCCCAACCCAGGGATTAAACTTGGGTCTCCTGCATTGCAGGTGGATGCTTTACCATCTGAGCCACCGGGGAAGCCCCATACTCAGTGTTAATTACACACATTAATAACTATGGGATGATTGTGTCCGAAGCCTCCCAGACTTTGGAGGGAATGCTCTAGTGACCTGAATGCAGAGTTGAGGTGAAGTCCAAAGCTTGAATTTAATAGAGTATTATCTTGGTAAACAGTGTGTTCAGTGCTATGAGTCAATTGTGTTTTCTCATGTACTCATGTGGCACAAGTACCATATTTTATCACAGTTCTTACGTACAGTGAAGATAAGTGACAAGCATACAATTTCTTGCTTCACTGCTGTTTTACATTACACAAGTTTGTTGTTTTGTTTTGTTTTGTTTTTAAGGAAATTAGGTGGTAGTTAGTCTCTAAAAATACAATGCTTCAGTCTACCACAGTGAATAAAGAAATGTAATCAGGGATTTAAAAAAAAAGACTTACGCAGCTTTTCAAAGTTGATTGTTTCAAAATTGGTGTTTATTTAAAATAAGTGGTAATGTACTTGAATGCATTTTCTTATGACAATGATTCAGTAATGGTAATTTTACTATTAAAGAAAGTGAAAGGGTTAGTTTTGTTAGCATAGCTCAGCATGAAGCTGTCAGGTGCTTCTCACCTAAGGGCGGAAGAAAATGATAGTAATAATTGCAGTAGTTGTATTTTATTTTTGCACGTATGCTAAACATAGGCTTGAAAAGGTGGTTAGGCAGGTAAATGTACCTCCTAAATTTGGAGATAATTATCTTTCTGTAGGTTCGTTAGGCTTGGCTGTTTCCATGTTTTCTTCCAGTGATGTTTTTACAGTTACTTATCAGTTCACTCATAGGGAATTAAAATGTAATGTTTTTCAACTGTGACTTCCCCTGATTGAACAATACTGCTGTATGATATACAAATTACAAACTGCATTAATTCACTGAAAATAAGGTCTGTTATGCTGTGATTTGAACTCTCCTCAGTACATTTATTAAAAAGCACCAATAGTTTCCCACTAAAGGTCACTTGTGGCTATTGATATTTTTGGTTTAGTTCCCCACACTTGACATCCTTTAATAAAATAATTGTATAAGACTTGATAAGTTTAGTAGTTTTTAATAATCCACAAAATGATTTCTTTTGAGGAATTTTATGCTATGTTTCTTCCTGCTTTTCCCATTCCTGTGTATATTTTCTGCTAGCATGTGTCTTAAAGGTATTTAGAAATATAAAATTCTGTACATTTGTAATTCCATCTTTCATCACACCCCCTTTCCAGGGTAAAGAGTCAACCATCTGGTGAAATGTGTTAGCTGGACCATGCAACATTTAGTCACTGGTATTCTGAAAGTGTTCCTACATTTTCTGAGCTGCTTATTCCTTCACCATGATCACAGAGTATTTAAAGTTACTTTGATAAAATTAATCCCAGTGCCTTTCTGTAGCTGAGCTAGTCTCTCATAAACTCCTCACCTCCACTGGTTTCAGCACTTGCTCATTCCTGTGCAAATTCCCATGGCGTTAACGGCTAACACCACGCAACCTTGATTGGCCTGAGTGAAAACAGTGGACGTTTTGGCTCTGACTCTCTGTGTTAGTAGCTTCCGTTGTGTCTGACTCTCTGCAACCCCCGTGGACTGTAGCCTGCCAGGCTCCTCTGTCCATGAGATTTCCCAGGCAAGAATAATGGAGTAGGTTGCCATTTCCTTCTCCACAGGATCTTCCCAACCCAGGGATCAAGCCTGGGTCTCCCACATTGCAGGCAGACTCTTTACTGTCCCAACCCAGGGATCAAGCCTGGGTCTCCCACATTGCAGGCAGACCCTTTACTGTCTTCAGACTACTCACCAGTAATTCCTCCTTCCTTACTTTTTTGTTAACAGTAAAACGTCTGTTAGAAACGGAGTAGGGCAGGTAAAGATTACTGTTATCCTTCCAGGCCATTTTTTAGGATATTTGTCAGGTAAATGATAGTCTGTAGCACAGAATGTTAAAAACAAGGCTTGGATGATTTTTATAAATGCACACCATACATGTTTAGGGGCTTCCCTGGTGGCTGGATAGTAAGAATCTGCCTGCAGTGCATGAGGTTTGATCCCTGGGTTGGGAAGATCCCCTGGAGAAGGGAATGGCAACCCACTCCAATACATATTTAATCATTTTCATCATGGAACAGCTTCAGCTTATGTGGCAATAAGTTGTGGATAATGGATAAACATCTCTCATCATCACTGACCTTAGGAAGGTCATCAAGCAGCCCTTACTGGGATTTGAAGTTTCTTCCGAGCACTAACATTCCCAAGTCCCCCTGCCATTTCTTATAAGGGGTATGATGACTTTCTTTCATCTCTTTATATGTAACATCTTATATATGTTTTATATCTTTTATATGTCCTGTAATGTGTGTAGAGAGAGAGAAAATATATAAATAGAAACAGTGCTTATCACTTTCAGAAGCTTGAAATGCTAATGTCCATTTGGTGACCCCAGTCCTCAAGTGAGTTAAAGTTCTGGGAACTGAAATTAGTGTTGACTTGGTTGAGGTACTAGATCACCTCTTTGGTTAATTTAGTTTTCAGTTACTAACTTAGTTGTACGTTTTTGTTGCGGCTTCATTCGGTTATAATTTGTATCACAGTTTCAGGGCACACTCTCACATGATCTCCCATATTTCATGTGTGTGCGTGTATGTGTGTGTGGGTACATGTGCAGAGGCTATGTGAACACTTACCCATCGCTTCTTGCTAAGAATCAGGAAAGGCAACAACAATCACACACTGTGACACAGCTCTCTCAACTTAAGAGTGATACCAACCAATCCTCCTGTCTTGTGCTTTGAAAGAATCTGCCATGGAGCCTATTTTAAGTCACTGCTTTTAGAGTAAGGCCTTGGCTCTGCCATAAGACCATGACATCTCCCTGTTAGTACTCTTCAAAACGAAAGGTCCTCCGTGTGCTTAGAAAAACTTAGAGAATACACGAGAAATCTAAACTTAGCCAGCTTTCTCGCAGGTCAGTATGTAGCAATTTATGTAGTTTTGGGGAAAAACATGGTAACTGAACAGAGAATTTAAATCTTATAAAGCCATTGGATATTATTATATTTACAGGCATGTGTTTGAATATGGTTGGTTTTGGCTCTCTTCTATCACGCCAATACCAGCTTTCAAAAAAGACAATGTATATGCTGCATCATTTTTAATCACCTACTAGATGCTATAGTAAAAATGATTATGCATTTAATGGCTTTAAGGGTATTCATCCACTGGATGAATAAACTCAGTGTACTGAATTTATACTCATTTACTTACTCATACTCATTCCAAAAAGGCTCTAAGGAGATTCTCCAGAGATATAAATGATAGATGAAAAATTAAAATTTAGAAAGAGATGCGAATCAGAGAAAAGGGATTTGAGGATAGGAAAGTTAGAGGAAGCTGTTTGGCTCTTGAAACAATACGTGAAACTCTCATAGTTTTGCCCAAGGTTGGCTATAAAACTGTGCGCGTGCTTTCTAGCATGGATATTTAAGATAATAAGAGAAGATGTATACCTCTTTCTGGCAGAGAAAGCTCCCAGTGTAAAAGATGTTTGTTTTTAGAGATGTTCTGACTAGTGAAGTATGAGATGCTTGAACTGAGTGTGGAGTTGGTGGCGAAAATATTGGACTGTTGTACTGGGTCCTGACCCCTCCCCCTCAAATGGACATATACAAACATGTGCAAGACAGTTTTTCCATGAACCAGAGCATAAGCATGTACCAACAGGGTCCCCACAGAAATGTGACAGCTGGAAGACAGGTTCGCAGGTATAATTTCCGGCAAAATACTCTGTTTTTCACCGAACAGTGAATGTAAAGGAAGAAAAAGCACACAAATTAGTGAAGTTTTTGGAGCAAAAGCAGAATGAAGCTATCCTCCAGGTCTATCAGTGTAATAGTCTGAGCGGTGTGGCTGGCAGCTGGGGTGCGTGCAACCCTGGTGGGCAGACGCTCAAAGTTTGGCAAGTTCCTCTGCAACTTGTGTGGGGAAGATGGGCTCAGGGACCTCGGGCAGCTCACCAGCCTTTTCCGCTTCCTCATTCCAGTTGAAAAATGTGTGTTCTTCATTGAAGCCTGTTAAAAAATGACGACAATAAAGTTTACTAATTCAGTGGCTCTGTTATTTATTTATTTATTTTTTTTGGCTATGTGACATGTGGGATCTTAGTTCCCTAACCAGGGATCAGACCCATGCCCCCTGTGTTGGAAGCACAGGGTCTTAACCAGTGGACCAGCAGGGAAGCCCCTGGTTCCAGTTTTTCTCTTTGTTACAGGATTTAGAGGAGACCAGCTTCAGAACTGTCCAGAGGTGTCACACCACCATTAGAAAAGATTCTAGACCTGCCAAAAAGTGGGCCTGTCATTGGTTATACGTTAGCTGCAATACACTTGTTCTGTTCAGTTTGCACTGTATCCTTAGACAACATTCTGTAATGTTTGGTGTACAGCGGACTTTGGACAGAGGCTGAGCAGCATAGGATAAGAGGAAGATGAATTGGAGGAAAGGCTGAGACAAACCTTTGCCAACTAACTATTCCAAGGTCAACCTCTGTCAACTCAGACTGTTGCAGTCAGGTCCCCGTAGGCAGGAACAGTGTTTTAACGGCTGGGCTTTTGCCAAGATTTCCTACACAACCTCTCAGTGGAGTGGTTTGCTTTTCCAGTTTTTTTGGTCCCCCTTCAAGTGTATTGACCACTGCCAATGTCAGCAAAATCCTCATTAATCTGTTAATCCATTCCGGAATGCTCAGGCCGGCACTGTCACCGGGGAGGGGCTGAGCCTCCGGTCACTAGAGTCCTTTTTGATGCCCTGAAGCAGCTGTTCCCCTTGTGGTGAAGTCTGGTTGGAAATGTGATCGGTCATTTAGGGAATCTAGAGCTTCCACGAGTCAGGATGACAGAAATTAATCAGACAATAGATAGGAGTCATACAATTTTACCCATTTGAAAAAAAAAAAACCCTCACGTTACACACTAAATAATACGAACTTTGGACTGTCCTTACATGACTGAGACATAGTCTCCCCGTTATATCTTTTTTTTCTATAAATCTTTGGATGTGTGTCAAGGTCATTGCATATGTTAAATGTGACACATTTATAGTTACTATTTCTGTTGGTCCCTGAAAAAAGTGCCTATATTGAGTCACAAAGCAGGACTTCCTTGCTAGCCCACAATGCTCCCTATAATATATCTGTCTCATCCAGAGTTACATTTATGGCAGTGGTCAGTCTGCAGCCTTTTTGGCACCAGGGACTGGTTTCATGGAGGACAATTTTTCCATGAACCAGGGGGAGGGTGGTGAGGGGATGGCTTTGGGATGATTCAAGTGCATTACATTTATTGTGCACTTTGTTATTAATTACATCAGATCCACCTCAGATCATCAGACATTAGATCCCGCAAGTTGGGGACCCCTGATTTACAGTATACAAGTATGTCAGCGCTACTTAAATAACATCCCTTTTTGCAGTCTGGCAATTCCATTTTAAAATACAAATAGTTTCAGAATTTTGCAAAGACAAGTATTGGTCTCTTTAGACGTCTTTGCATGCTTTCTTTTGGCTATCACAGTAATTACATAAAGAGTAAAAACGCATGTTGGGGGTTTTCTCTCCAGGTAGCTGGTACATAAGCTGCTTCTATCCATGCAGATTTACAAAGTTTTATGTCATAAATGACTGGTTCATTTCTCTTGAGACTGTAGTCTTTCCAAGCTGCATTAAATTAACATGCTGTCTACTTAAGACAAATTGTTGCCAAGAACCGCCAGGGAAACATCCGTCTTTAACTTTCCTGGCTGTGCAGAGAAACCTTAAGTATAATTTGGACCATAACAAAAGGTAGGCTTGGAAGTTCCAATCAATTAAGTCTATTGAAAAGCATCACACAGCCTATCCATCAAAAAAAGGGCGAGAGTTTTAAACATTCAGGTAAATAGATAATCCATTAAGAAAACAATGCACATTGTGGCAAATGCCATCCTGGTTTTGTCAGCACTTATTTATAGTCCTTGGATTCCCCTGCCCTCCTGCTGAGAGACTTCTATTCCTCCCTCTCCCAATCTTTGTTCTCTTATTCATCGCTAAAGGAAAACAAAGCAGAAAGCAGCACATACCCAGTGTTCCATTCTGGCCAAGTTCTTCCTCTATAGTAAAGAGGCGGTTGTACTTAGTCACCCGTTCGCCACGAGAAAGACCTCCCAACTTGATAAACCGGACACCAAGTCCAACAGCCTAAAGGGATGGGGAACAGCTTATTTTAAATGGAGTCATATTTTGCTCAACTAAACGCTTTAGGGAGAAGGGACACTGCCCCTGTGTGCTGTTTGGTTTACTCTCCTAAGTCAGTTTCTCATCTTACATGTGTAAAGCGACCTTGAAGTTAATTTCTCTTCTTACATCAGTAAAGCGGCCTGCTTACAAGCCGAGAAGAGTCAGAGGTACAGAGATAGTGTGACTATACATCAGATGCTCTCCTAGTCATGTGAGCGTGCTGACTTTTATATAAGAACACTCTGGCCTTTCTCACTTTATTTTAGGAGGTACGATTGCAAGTGCACGCCCCAGTCATTTCAGTATGCTCATCATTTTCCCAGGACTTCAATTTTTCTTCTTTTTACAAGTTCAGAGATTAGCTCTTTGCAAAAGATAGTTGTCTGGGAGGAAGCAAGTCTTTCATAAAAGGTTTACATGACTTTGTCTGCCAAAGTCCACCGTTCTCTGAGACGCCATTTCGTGATAAAAGCAGTGTTTTGGCAATTCTGCAACGGACCAGTTTTCAGCACTTACCAAATCGACAAGGCTGTCATCAGACGACTCTCCTTCTGTGGTTCCAAAGACAGCGATGTGCTTCTTACCTGTGAGCAGAGGAATTCTTTTCATTTTAGATGGTATGAATCTAATCAGCAGATACAAGCCTCCAGAATAAAACTTTAAAGTTTGCCAGAGGTTTAAAACTGAAGAGTCAATTTGTTGACCACCTGAGAATTCTAACCCATACATTTGCATTTCTAGTACCCTGATTTTATCTGTGTAGATAAATACTAATTGAATTCTGTGTTTCATCAAATATAAGATACCCTCGATTGTAAGAGGCACCATTATTACCACTAAAGAGGAAAAATGCTCAAGACAGAATGATACATTTTCTCAGACCACAGCTGTAAGACAAAATCATCCATGTTCAATGTAGAAAAACATGCATCTTAGAGTCAAAATACATGGTAAGTACAAGGGCATCATATGCCTAAATAAGAGATTTCACAATTCATGTAAAATTTTGTTCAAAGGAAAACTGTCATTCTGAATGTTGACTTATTAGAAGAGCAGTGTTAATAGTACTTAATCAATCACTTTTAAAGATCTCAAAACCCCTTAAAATTTGCCAAAACCTACAAAGACTGCAATCCAGAGTTCTTCCTGTGGTGACAATGTTGTGTCTTACAGGCAGGAGTTATAGCAGTGATCTAGTATGGGACAAAATGTCTGCTGAGTGCCAGGCCCAGGGCGTCTCTCCCACCACCTGCAAGCTACCCTGCCTGGGTCCTAGACCGGGGAAGCCTGCAGGTGAAGGGACCACATGCATTTCATTCCATCTTCTGCCACTAGCCCAGGCCCCTGGCTCCCAGTCTCCCTCTGAGTCTTGCACCAGCTCTGAGACTAGCCTTCTGCTTAGTTCCTGAGATCCACTCACGATACTCATGTTTCAGGCCCTGTGCGTAAGTGAACAAGACTCCTGAGAACACCCTGGAAAAGGGGGAAACAGGATGAGACAGTTGGACGGCATCATCAACTCAATGGATGGGATCATGTTTGATGTCCGGGAGATAGTGGAGGACAGGGAAACCTGGGATCACAAAGAGTCAGACCCGACTGAGCAAGCTGTGGTTAGTACTACAGTTGAAAATATAGGATGAGAAAGATTCAGAGTAGCCAGTGAGGGGTGGGGAAAATTAGGAAAAGGCATCTACATATGAAGAGGTTTCATTTAGGTCAAGAAGATCTGAAGGATCAGGACTAGTTAGCCAACTAAATGGTATAGGGCAAAGCATTCTGGGCTGAAGGAACAGCATGTTCAAAGACCTGTAGGTCGTAAAGAGCTTGAAACTTTTGAGGAACTAAAAAAAAACCAGTGTGGGCTAATGATTGAAAAAAAAAAAAAAATCACTGTGGTGTCCTGTGAAGCTGAGAGAACAGCGGCCTCAGCCACATGTTTGTGGTAGCCCTCCCTGAAAGGGGCGACCTCCTGGGTGGGGCTGTTGTTAGAACATTATGTTGTTAGAACATTATGAACTAAATCAGTAGTGCTGTTGAGCACTTGCAAATGGCTGGGGTGTTTTTCCCTCCAAGATGGATTCCATGCTTTTGAGTACCTGATACACTGCGTATTTAAGTTCACCATGAGTCTTTCAGATCTGCGCTTCCACTCACCGTCGATGAGGTTTGTTATTTCCACCAGGTCCGACATGGTGGTTTGGTTTGTGTGTTTTATGATCAGCCCGCTGTATTTGAGGATGCTGATGTTGCCCTCCTCCAGCAGTTTAGAGATGCTTTTGGATGCAGTGCCTGCAATTATGTAACACCTGGAACCAAGAGCATTATAGATGCTGTCCCACTGTTCAGAGTCCTGGGTGGATATTTAAGAATTGGTCATTACAGTGTATGCAGCATCATCACAAAACAACAGGAATCATATAGTAGATAATCAAAGTTAGACACCTTTATGAGATACACAAGCTAGGGATTTAGGGGGAGTTTTTGGTTTTTGCATTTTTCAGCTGAATGCTGCCGGTACCACAGCCACACAAGTTAATAGGCTTTGTGGAACAGAAACCTAAAGTGATTAAATTTGAGCTTAAAGATCTAGTGAGTAAAATGTTAATACACATTAAATGCTCTTCTCCATGTTGATTCTGACATCCCTCAAACACAGGCTCTTCCCACCCACTGTGTTATCCATGATGCTGCTAAAGACTGGCTGGTTGGAGGATGTTAATGTTATTTCTGATAAAAAGACAATGGAAAGAAATGAGCCTGCAGGGCTGTAGACCCTCATTCCCAACACCCTTATTTTTAATTGGTGAGACCACCAAATGAAATGAAATGCTCATTTAAATAGTAATATACAGTCTTCCCAGCCATTGTACTAGATTTCCACCTGTCCCATTAGGACAGACAATATAGATGCATCTTATCACATTAAGAAAAGAGCTATGGCCAGAGCCTGGGGACAAGAAGCAGAAGATATGTCTGGTGGGATGAAAGATCTGGGCTCAGCATCTTCCACAAGTGCTGGGATGTAGCCAGGCTGTGAAAGGAAAGATGGGACTGAGAGATCCTGGGGCTCCAGTAAGATCCAGCTCTCTTTCTGTCCCTCAAATTTTAATAGCTGAGTTATCTCAAAGAGAATAGCTGCTCACTGTATCTAATGGCTCTCAAGTTCATAAAATCAAGAATGTAAGTTTTGAAGTTTAAGTGGGTTAGGAAAAAAGACAGTTGTAGGCACATAGACAATCCTTGTCAGATGCATTAGTGCAAACAGGTCAGAAAACCCCAATATCTCAAATCTTTTAAAAAAGTATGTTTTTTTTTAAACTTCTATACATGTGTAGTAACTGAATTTAGGTTAAAGTTGAAGTTCTGTTTCCATGAGCACTTGGCAATGATGTGTGATTAACCTACTGAAGCACCAGCTAGCACAGCAGGCATCAGTTAGGCTGCTGGTAAATACACAGGTACTCTGAAGTGCTGGGGGAATACATGTTTTACTCCATAGATGGGCACACTCCTAGGTAATTCTGTTTCTGCTAGTCATTTGCCTGGTAAGTGCCTTTTCTCATAAACGCCCAAATAAAATATCCCAGCCCAAATTACATTTCAAATCTACAGATCCAAAAGAATGAAACTTTGTTCTGTTTTATTATAAAATTCAAGGTGAATCCTGTTACCTCCTTCCTGAAAGGGTCAATTAAGGCAGTAATTGAAGGGAACTTGTTGATCAGATCCACATACAGGTCAACCATCTCAGCTGCATTTTTGTAGGTCCCCATCATCACTTCATATTTTCCTTTACTCTGATAAGTGTAAGGAAGATATTAAAATAAAGGCTAAATGATGAGTTCTTCAAACATTAAAGATGCAATTCAACTTCATTTTCATTCATTTCATATAAAAGACTTCAGGTTATTTTCAGGCCACCCTCACACGAGAAAACTCTGCCGTTTACTTTAAATATCTGTGAAATATCAACCTGAGAAAATCAAGTCCGCATTTCTCTGGATGCCCCATACATCTCTTCCCACGGATTTCAGATGAAACCTTCTGCACAAAACAACTGCCTGCAGGGTAGGAGAGGAGTAATTCCTTACTTCAGTTTTAGGATGTGATGCCAGATACCTGGCAGCTTGGAAGATGGGCAGTCACATAAATTTCATAAACAGAATAGCAGTGCAAACCTGCCTACTCAATAGAACTACCATTGTTCAGCTCACAGTGAATGAATTTACCTTGCTTCCTTTACTGTGAATATTTTAAATTTGAAAGCAGGGCTAGACTTTTGAGATATGAACAAACAGTCAATATGAAATATAAAGAGACTTAGGTGAAAGCAAGCAGGCATGTTCTAGTAGTAACTATTGTTTTGGAAGTGGAATTCTAGTGTAGCCTGTTCATCTGAAGTCTGGAATGCCCCCAGGTACTTAAGTACAGGAGTGAACGGACCAGGAGAATTTAGTATGATGTCTGCAAACACAGCACCCTTATGTCCAGTCCAAATCTGTGTCCAGCAGTGGCGCCTGGGGCATTTAGGTACAGGGAGCGGGGTGGAGTGCACCAGAATGACTCTGGTTTACTGATGCCTTCCTGTGGCTGCTAACAGAATGGATTCCCTTAGAAGTAAGCAGGTTCCTAAGAAGTTCATCATTGAAAAGATTCTGTACTTTTTTCACGTTAAAAAGTGGTTAAGAACTCTTAGTTTCTATACTGCAAAACTTATACAATCTTGTCTTGTCAGAGAGGAAATGCTTTGAACTAACTTTGAACTAACTTTTTCAATGACTTTGAACTAACATAAGAAGAATTATCTGCTATCTAGCTAATGCATTTTACCGAATATATGCAATAAATATCCGGTCTAGTTAGCGCTAGCAGTCAGTAATATGTTGTAGATGAAAACATGCAATTATTTTTCTTAATGGTATGCCTAGGAACCAATCATTATGTGAAGAATAGAAAATTACGTTAAACATTCTTTTCTGTGCTTAGTTTCTTTAGCAAACTAAAAACTTTAGAAGTCAGCTGATACTTAGGTTTCTAATATACTATTCAAGATTTCCTTTGAAGTTAAAAATTAGAATTGCAAATTAAAGTGGAATCCTATTTGGTCATGTCTCCTGAATTTGACATTAATTACCATTACTAATTATTCTCCAAAAACTTCAATAACTTGGAAATACTTTTTATATTTAAAAAGTGAGTCACCAGCAGAAACTCCAAGAATCATGTGTCTGGAAGAGCTTATCAAGTCATAGTTACAACTGACTCACTTTTTATGCTTGACCAATTCAGCATTCATCAACCAAATCAATGTACTCAGCAGAACATACCAATTTGTTAAAATTATTTTTCAGCAGTTCTTATTTCAGTGTAAGTAATCCATTTTAGTCACTTTTATTACAGAATTTCTCTAATTATTATGACATTTTCTGTTAATATTTAAGGTTATATGGCTATGTTATTGTCTATCAGAAAAAGACTATAGGTTTCCCTTATGGCTTAGATGTAATGAATCCACCTGCAATGTGGGAGACCTGGGTTTGATCCCTGGGTTGTGATGATCCCCTGAAGAAGGGTATGGCAACCCACTCCAGTGTTCTTGCTGGGCAAAACCCCATGGACAGAGGAGCCTGGCAGGCTACAGTCCATGGGGCTCCACAGAGTTGGATGCAGCTAAGTGACTAAATACAGCATAACACATTGTCTGGTCATTAGCTAATTTGTCTTTCCCAACTCCATTTATATTTGGACCCTTCCATGATATTACTTGAAAAAATAGAATTTGTTTGGAAATATAAACAGATAGGCTCCTCTTTTGAGTTCTAATTTAAAAATAATGGGACCAAAACAAAAGGCAAAAACTCTGGAGTGGAAACTTACATAGTCCATCAGCTCATGTGCAGCACAGTTGATGGCTAGATGCAGGTCTGTTCCCAATTCTAGCCCCAGGTTTGCACAGATTCCTTGTATTAGGAGCAGTGGCTGCTCTATAGTGTCGTAATTAATGGTTAAACAGCCAAGATGGGAGATCTTGCCGGTGATCTGCTGCTGCAGGATCAAGAAAACCACGCATGTAAATACAGCATGCTAAGGTTTTTGGAGCTTCTGGTGGTTGGCAGTTAATAACCAGACACAGCTCTCCAAACACAAGGTCCTCTGACTCTCCATTCACCCTGTCCCTAGTTCCTGCTCATGTCTGCATGACCTCTGGGCAGATGAGTGTTCTGCAGTATCTGGGAATAGTTTTCTTACTCCCGAGGTCTTCAAGTTTGACCTGGGAACACACTCCTCTCTCTTTAGTTGCCCATGTCTTCTCTCTGTCAGCTCTACTATTGAACACGGGCTGACCTGAGCCATGACCACCAGCCACCAGGCTGGTGACTCTTCAGTCTGGCCTTATAAGTGTCTGTCCTGCCTGTCCCTGACTCTGCCTTCTTCCTCTAGACCTGCTCTTTCCTGTGTCCCATTTTCCTTTAGAAGGATGTAACTGCTAAAAGGCCACATGATGCGAAGAACCGACTCATTGGAAAAGACCCTGATGCTGGGAGATGGTTGGATGGCATCACCGATGCAATGGACATGAGTTTGAGTAGGGTCCGGGAGTTGGTGGTGGACAGGGAATCCCGGCGTGCTGCAGTCCATGGGGTTGCAAAGAGAAAGACACGACTGAGCTGAACTGTTAAAAGGGCTTCTATGGTAGTTCACACAGTAAAGAATCCACCTGCAGTGCAGGAGACCTGGGTGCAATTGCTGGGTTGGGAAGATCCCCTGGAGGAGGGCAGGGCAACTCACTCCAGTATTCTTGCTTGGAGAGTCAGCATGGACAGAGAAGCCTGGCAGGCTAGTCCATGGGGTCTCAAAGAGTTGGACACGACCAACTAAGCACAGTGCCACACAACTGTAAAAATGTAACTTAAAAAAATGTAACTCTTCTTCAAGAAAGGTTTTATTTTAAAAAGGATGGGAGACTCCAGCTGAAAGGACACAGCACAGAGGATGCACAACAGTGGAAGAAGGTGTGATGACCCAGATGACCCTGGGGAAAGGTCAAAGTCTGAGATTTCAGTGGGCCAGACGATTGCGGGCAGTGGTGGCCTGGCAGCCTGTTGCCAGAGAGGCAGGGACAGAATGATATTCCAGCTCTGGGTTCTGGCTGCCTGGGTCAGCCCCCTTGAAGGCATATCACCATGCAATTTCTGTTTATGTGAGCCCTGGTCCTGGAGCAGAGTGACTATGGGAGAGGGGAGGGGGCGGGGAATAAATGACCTGTCATATAGTGTGGGAAATGCATTTACTTACTTGGCCTCTTTTGCCTCCATCATGACTTTTTCTCATCTCTGGCTTTGGAGGGGGTGACTGCAGGACAGAAGATAAAGATATGTCACTTGGGATTTTCAGACACGTCTGTGGCAGCAGGCAGAGCTTTCGGTCCTCTGACCTGGTGACTGCTCTGGGGCCAAGCTGGTCACGCTGCGAGTCTCTCTTTCTCTCTCTCTCTCTCTCTCTCACACACACACACACACATGGGTGATGACAACCACTCTTTAACTTCATAAACTTCAAACCATTTCTCAAAATGAGGTACATGCTGGATCTGATGTATGTAATGTCATGTGACATTAAAAGTAAAGCTAATTACCAATGAGACGCTCCCACGGTTTACAGTATTGACACAGGATGCACTTTAGGACTTCCCTGGTGATGCAGAGGACAGAAACCTGTCTGCCAATGCAGGGGACATGGGCTCGATCCCTGGTCCAGGAAGATTTCACATGCCATGGAATGGCTAAGCCCATATATGCCACAACTACTGAGCCCAAATGCTATAACTACTGAAGTCCATGTGCCTAGAACCTGTGCTCCCCAACAAGTTCAGTTCAGTTCAGTTGCTCAGTCGTTCTGATTCATTGTGACCCCATGGACTGCAGCACACCAGGCTTCCCTGTCCATCACCAACCCCCAGAGCTTACTCAAACTCACTTCCAATGAGTCAGTGATGCCATCCAACCATCTCATCCTCTGTCGTCCCCTTCTCCTCCCACCTTCAATATTTCCCAGCATCAGTCTTTTCTAATGAGTCAGTTCTTTGCATCAGGTGGCCAAAGCATTGGAGCTTCAGCTTCAGCACAAGAGAAAGCCAGTGCAAAACAAACAAAGACCCAGCACAGTCGTCCCCACAAAAAGATGACGTACTTTAATGCCCAGCAGTTATTGGCTCTATAAGCGGGGGCGTGTTTGTCAAGAATCAACAAGGTTCATACTCAGTTATACATAAAGACAGAAGTTATCCTGCCTCCTTTCACTATGGAGTCAGCTGAACTTTCTATCCCTTGATATTAATAAAAATAATATAGGAAGCGAAGTGATGTGCCAAGAGAAAAGAGACAGTGAAACACACACGGCACTGCCTCAGGAAGCTGTGATCCAGTGACGGCAGACAGGTGAGATGCAGGTAACAGCCAGGAGGAAGGCGGTGTGATGGGGAGTGCAGAGCTGGGGGACTTCCCTCTGTAGAGTCAGGGAAGGGGACTTGGAAGAAGCTGATATCTGGTGGGAGGGGGGAATGTGGGAGTGCCAAACCCACCAGGTAAAGAGCAGTGTATTCGTGGCCCAGAGCTGAGCAAGGGCAAAAGTCGTAAAGCAGCGTTTTGCAACTGTGGCACTCTTGATACTTTGGCTGGGTGATCCTCTGCTTGACGGGCTGCCTGTGCACTGTTGGATGTGTACCAGCATCCCTGATCTCAGCGTTCTAGATGTCAGGAGAGCCTCAAACTGGGACAACCCAGAACGTTTTGCCCTTTGGGCAAAATCATTCCCCACCAAGAAGCACTGCCTTAGAAGAACACAGTGATACATTTTACTTTGTCAAAACTGAAAAAGAAAAATATCTCTATGGTTTCATAAAATACAGTTAAAAAGGCAGGCAATGTGGTAGAAGAAATCAGGTATTAATGTAACATGTAGAAAGTACTGAAGCCTTACAGAAAGAATTCCCAGATTATCAGTAAAGATAAACACAAATAAAAAGGGTAAAGAAATAAAGCAATCTGCAGAGATTTGTGCAGAATTTTACATGATTTTAAACACAAATCATGCTATATACTTGTATGTGTGGTGTCTGTGTGTACAAATACAAAACAAAGGCTAGAAGACCACACTCAATTTTTAACAGTAGGTCAGCTCTAGAGATGGAACTGGAACTGAGGGTGGTAGTGAGTGTGGGGTCCAGGTAGGTGGAGTTAGCACAGGGGTGGGTGGGGGGTACTAGCTCTACCAGTATTTGAATTTTCATAACATTCATGAGCTTTGTATAATTAAAAATAAACTGTATAATTAAAATTGTATAATTAAAAAATTGAAAGTCAGGATGACTGCAGAAAGCTCAAATATCCTGAATTTCTAATATTCTAAGTTGGATTTCCTCCACCTCCTGTGACAACCACCACCTCTAGGCATTGCTCATGGCGGTGTCAACTCTGAGCACATTGCCTACATTCAGCTTGTTTACTCCTCACAATGTATCATATCCATTTTGTGGACGAGGAGCCTGAGGCAGAGATGTTATGTAATTGGCACAAGGGCACACAGCTAGTAAAGGGGCAACGCAAAAGGCAAGGTGAGGGTTAACTTGTCAAGTCTGAGTCTCTGTAGGCTGGTCACCCATAAGGAAGTTGGCCTCCTGAAAAGCACCCCGGAAACTGGCTCCAGTATGAATGTGAAAGTGCTAGTCACTCAGTGGTGTCTGACTTTTTGTAACCCCGTGGACTGCAGCCCGCCAGGCTCTTCTGATCATGGGATTCTCCAGGCAAGGATACTGGAGTGGGCAGCCAGGTGCTTAAAGCAATTCTGATCAACTGTAGGGTATGGGCCCAGCCACCTGCCCCCGTTACTGATTCAGTGCTGGCAAGATCACATTGGAGCCAAAGTTCCTTCACATCATACTGAGATGGCATCTTGGCCCCCATCCTGCAGGAGGATCAGCAAGTGCTTCCTAATCATGTAGTTTAGAAGCCTCACACTATGTAACTGTGGGCTCAGGATTGAATCCTGGAACAGAAGGACATTAGTGGAAAAACAAGTGAAATTTGAATAAAGTCTGGAGTTCAGTTAGTAGTAACGTAGACTTTTGGTTTCCTAGCTGTGATAAATGTGCTTCGGTGATGTATCCTGTTAACCCTGGGGGGAACTGGGGTGAGGAAGTATTTGGGAACTCTCTGTACTGACTCTGCAGCTTCTCTATAAATGCAATATTATTCCAAAGTGAAAGACAAGGATCGGGACCCTCAGCCCACCACCTCACTGTGCATGACCCTGGTCAGAACATGATGGTACACTCCTGCATCTGAACATGTATTCCTGATACATCCGTGGAGAGAGAGGCACTTTGTGGACACAGAGGAGGAAGGAGAGGGTGGGATGAATTGGGAGGGTAGCATTGAAACATATATACGACCATCTCTAAGACAGCCAATAGGAAGCTGTTGTGTACCACAGGTAGCTCAAGCTGGTGCTCTGTGACAACCTAGAAGGGTGGGGTGGGAGGGAGGCTCAAGAGGGAGGGAATACATGGATACTTACGGCTAATTCACATTGTTGAATGGCACAACACAGCATTGTAAAGCAGCTGTCTTCCAATTTAAATTAATAATAAAGAGTATGATGGAATAACCTGGTGCCTCTATAGCTGCCCCCATCCAGCCTCTATGACATCCCCCTCACGGGCTTCTTGGTCAAGGGTACTCATTTGCCCAGCACTGGGATTCTGAGCAGGCACAAGTGGCTGTGCCTGCACCATCATACCACGTGGCCTCTCACGATCCGAGGGGCCAGATCCTTCCCTCATAATCTTTGCACAGGGCCAGCTGCCTCAGAGATCAAAATGAGATGATTAAGTTCCATTAGAAACTGGCCCCATAGCTAATGAGGGAACGTATGAGCTTGGATCATAGGGGAAACCCAAAGAAAATGAGTATGTTTTCCTATCTGTAGCAACAATATTGATCACATTGCAAAATGAACTATAATTTCGACACCAAAAGGTATATAAGCATCAGTTATTAGATACCGTATATCCTCTTTACATACCATTTCAACTGCTTTGTTGATGTGTTTCTGAATTTCCAGAAGCATCTCCACACCCTGTAAGCAGAAGAACTGTGATCTTCCACAACTGCCTGATAGCTCAGCTGGTAAAGAATCTGCCTACAATGTGGGAGACCTAGGTTCGATCCCTGGGTTGGGAAGATCCCCTAGAGAAAGGCTACCCACTCCAGTATTCTGGCCTGGAGAATTCCATGGGCTGTGTAATCCACGGGGTTGCAAAGAGTGGGACATGACTGAGTGACTTTCACTTCACATTTCACTCCACAACTGCAGTCTAGAATTTTAAATATAAACACTTATACCACACATGAGTATTTCTGACTCAGAATATTTGTAGGGTCTTTGATAAGACATCCTGGGTAGTGAGTTACACATGGCCTACAATATCAGAGGATTAAATGCTAATCTTCAACTCTCCACTTTTATTTGGGTGAAAATGAATGAGAGGATCTTCCTTGTTATCCTCTCTTCACGGTTCAGAACTGGCTGGTTTAGTTGGTTGGGTCACGTTAACTTCACTCTCTTTCACGGTCTCCTGACCAACCTTCTTGCAACACATGTCACGGGTCATCAAGGGCTTCTGCATGGCAGTGTTTGAATTAGTATAAATCCACTGTCACTTAGAAAGGAGGAGGATGTGTTCTGCTGACGGTGGGATCTGCATACGGAGACAGATGAAGAATGGCATGCCAAATGCTCTGGTACCCAAATAGCACGACAGATATTAACTGAAGGAAAGATCCTGGCGCCACGATCTGCACGGGATCTGACAGATGGTGTGCCAGATATAAATCCCAGTCTTTCAAAACTGATAAAAGCGAATAAATGCCTATTCCCCTTAAAAAAATAAATTCTTTATCATAAAGAAGTCATCTTGAGATTTTAAAAAAAAATGATTTTCACTAGGTTGGATAAAATATCAGTCACTATGTTGCCCAGAGGAGACGGAGCTTCCTGTCCTTTTCCTGTAAACATCCACTATAGAATGCTTAGTTCTCCCTAATGCTTAACTGGCAGAATATTTCATGAAGATATAAAGAGGCATATTGACTCATTTACGCCACTGAAGAACAGTTAGACACTAACAGACTTCTGAGTAGTAAACATGCCACTTAGGATTCCTTCCTTCCATATTCCATAAACGTGCTTAAAACTCTCTTACGTGCCAGGCAATCTGCTAGGCTCTGCAGTTCCTACTTGACAGAAGGGCTCCTAGGAAAGTGCCAGCTTCCTCTTGTTGCAGCCATTGTGCATAGACTAGTAAATAAAGATATCTCAGTTGTCCCAAAGAACATCCTTCTAGCACTCTCAAGGCTTCTCTGTGAGCGTCTCAGCTCAGTTCAGTTCAGTCACTCAGTCGTGTCCAACACTCTGCGACCCCATGGACTGCAGCACGCCAGGCTTCTCTGTCCATCACCAACTCCCAGAGCTTGCTCAAACTCAACTGTGAGCCTCTAGCATGAGTCAAGGTTATAAAGAGCCGGAGATCCATGGTGGTCTAAATGTGGTCCCCTTTCATCTGCAGTCTTGTTTTCTTCCCACTTCACTAATTTCCTAAATTTTTTTTCTCATTTTTAATTTAATTCCTTTTCCCTTGGTATCATAAGCCTTGGGGGCATCCACTAAAAACTCACTAATGATGAAGTTTTTTCTTTTTTTTTAAAGAAAAGGTAGTTTGAGATAATGTAAGGTACTTGTTTAGCTGTTAATCCAGGATGGGGTATACAGATCACTTCTTTCATCAAATTCAGCTTCCCAGGTGATGACTTCCCACAGCTGACCAGCGACACCATCAGAAGAGGTATAGTTAGCTTTTCTGGCTGTTCCTGAAATGGGGCGGCGGGGAGGGGGAAGCAAGAGGAAATGAGGAACATGGTTCATTCGTGTTGAGACACTCATGGTCCTTGTAAAGGTGTGTAATGGGCACTAACCTGGTGGTGCTTCAATAATGCAATGTTCAGGTAGAGAGGATTATTGTCCAGCACGGCACTGGTTTTGGCAACAGCCAGTGACACAGCCCCTATGGCCATGCTGCCACAGAGGACAGGCTCAGGAGGTTCTGCAGGTATAATTGGTTTTTCTGCAGCAGTCTCCATCCTTCCTGAAGAAAAAAAATATTGATAAAAGATTGCTTTCCAGAAAGCAAAAATGTGACTATGATAAAACTGTATTTTTCAATGTTTTACTTACAGATGCAAAGGCCAAGCATAAAGAAAGGATGAAAAACTGAGGCTGGGAAGAATGTATTCACCACTTCCATCCCTGAGATTTCTGTCTGATGTCACTACCCTCTAACATCCAAAGAGTCCTCAGCCATGGATTTTGCCGAAGAAATTTTAGAATATTCAGTATTAACACCTTCCACAGTCATGTAGGGTAGAAATTGTTATCTCATCTAAATGAAGGCTTAGGCTTAAAGACTTGCCCCACATTCAGCAGAACGTGAATTTAAGGAGAGCATCTGAACAGTCTTGTGAATTCCAAAGCCTTTGTTTTTCTGTGTTCCACCATTGCTCCTGCATACCCACTTTTGTGTTGAACATCTCATGTGTATATCTAACTGGTTACCTTGCTTGCCAACCCCAAGCAGATGCCTTTTTCTATAAGGAATTCCTTCCAGATCTAACCATCCGCTCAGAATCCCCATCCATCTTTCACCCTCATATATTCTCAGCCACTTAGTCATAATTAGTCAGACTAATTATGGCACCAGAGTGTCCATAATAAATCTCTCATTCCCCTCCTGTTCTCTGCTTTTCCACAGCTGCTGACCTAAGTCAGGTATGTTAGGTAAGTGGAGTCAGATGTATAAGCACCCAGCACACATTAAATGTTTAGCAAATTATGGTTCCCTCCTACTCCTTCCCTTCTTACATTCCAAGTTCTATTAGTCAAAAGGAACCACCAAGTGAACACCCACTGGTGGTCTCTACCTATGATTTAGCAGTGGCCATCCCCACCTTCCAGAAGATTGGTCTAACATGATTCTTCTGCCTTGGGCAACTCTCCTCCTCTGTCTGGGCTTCAGCATCTGAATTCATGAAATAAGAGACTTTGTCTTCATGATCTCTTTGGTCCATGGTTCTGGTGCTTTCTTACTCAATGGAATCCACACTCATCTGGTATTTAGTCTATTCCCAGCATCATGCTAGGAGCTGGCAGTTCTAAATTGAATGAGGCATGATTCATGCCTTCAAGGAGCGTGTTGTAACTGGATGGACATACAAAACCCTGTTATAACACTAGCAGCAGCTCTGGAATTAACATATTAGAGGAACGGAGGTTAACAGTATGTTGGAAGGCATGGAACAAAGGGCCATGATAACTTCAATTATATGCCTTAAAATGGCAAGGTCTTCCAAAGACAGTTTTCATTAATATGTTATGTGGGACTGCAGAAATGTTGGTTATGCATATCAAAGGACACCATTAATTTTTAAAATATGGAGTGGCTTTCTGATGAGCTAATGGGAAATTTGAGAAGCAGATGAAGGTCTCCATGTCACCCCCCACCCTCTCTGCTTTGGGCAGAAAGTACTGTTCAGAATACAGTTCAGAGTACTTTGTTTACTAAGTGCTTACATCTGGGTAAAAAATATTTTTTATCTTACAAATAAAAATGGAGGGCAAGATGGGGTAAAACCGTGCTGACCTAACATTGTAGCTTCAAGCAAGGAAATGGCATGGAGGATGGATGGATGGTATCTGGTGGGAACCCAATCCAGGTGTGCAGCAGAGAGACTTGAACTTGAAAAGATAGTCCAAGCTTCAGCCTTTCTTCCCCCACCTTTGTTACTTATGGTTGTTTCTATAAGATGATAAGCCACTGACCTTGCTTTTGTCCTTTTTTCTTGGATGGAGGTGGGGGTGGGGGTGGCTGGGGTGAAAGCACTGTTGAGTCTTCTAGGTTCTTTTCCAATTCTTTTCTCTCCTTATTTTCTTGTACTTTATTTTCAAAGAATGTCCTTAATGGCAAGAAAGTATGGGTTTATAATGAGATTATTTAGGAATATCGCTTGTAACTTTGGTCACGTTTTAGTGCTGACCCTAAAATATTTCAGTAGCTAACTCTGCTTTTTAAGCTACCTAAGAACAAATCTGCTTCAATTTATAGGACTAAAAAATGACACTGTTATAAAACCGTGTTCAAGAACTGAAAATCATTTTGGCTTGGAAATAAATGTTTAAAGATTTCAGGTGCTCATTTTAAAAATTATCTGAGCCCTGTTTATTATTTTTAAAGTAAAATTTGAAGAAACAATTTGATTAAGGGCTACTGGATTTTCTTTTTGAATACATGACCATCAGACAAAAAATGAGGCAAGCACAGACAGTGAAATACATAGCACTATATGCAGGACTGACTTTTTCTTTTTTATTTGAGGTGGGTGCTTAAAATGAACAGCTAAAAAACTTTTGGGAACCCCAATTTAGGTACCTCTAAATAAAATTTCAACTCCATGGAATAAAAAGAGGCTAAAAATTTCCAGAGATAAAAAAAAACAACAAGCCAAAAAAAAAAAAAAAAGATATGGGAATCAAATTTGCATCAGATGCTGGTGGGGCTGTGCCTTTAAAGTACTGAAAGAAACAGATTTCAAAGGAGAATTCCATACTCAGCTAAACAGTCAAACATGAAGGCAAAATGCTAACATTTTCACACATGTAAGAATACCCTTACCAAAATTTATATCCCAAATACTCTTTTCTCATCCTTACTTTAAAAAAAAAATTATATATTTATTTTGGCTGTGCTGGGTCTTCACTCCCGGCTGAGTATTTTCTCTAGTTGCAGTAAGCGAGGGCGACTCTTTGTTGCGGCGTGTGGGCTTCTTGCGGTGCCTCCTCTTGCAGAGCACAGGCTCGAGGCACGCAGGCTTCACTAGTTTTGGCTCTCAGGCTCTAGAGCTTGGACTCAGGACTTGTGGACTCCTGAGCAACTCAGGACTCAGTTGCTTGGCAGCATGTAGAATCTTCCCTGACCAGGGATCAAACTTGTGTCCTCCTGCGTTGGTAGGAGGACTCATCCACTGTACCACGAGAGAAGCCTTCATCCTTACTTTTACAGGATGTAATCCAACAATTCAAGAAAGCGGAAGATATGGGATCCAGGAAACAGGAGAACAATGAAGGGATATCTTATGGCATCTTTGTAGTAGGTCTAGAGAGGAACAACTCAAGACGGGAGATTTGGGAGGGAAAATTCCAGGAAAAAAAGGAATGTAATGAAATAGAAGGTATGACTGGGAGATTAGGAAAACAATTAAGGATCTGTCAATAGCAAATAACACACACAAAGAAGTGGAACAGCATTCAAAAACTGGAGGGCTACAATCCATAGGGTTATAAAGAGTCAGACACGACTGAACAGGTGCACGTGCATGCACATGCACGCACAAATGCTATTTATAAAAGACATAACTAGAAGTTACACAAAATTATATAGCATTCAAAACCTGTGAAAAGCTATTCAAAAAAAGTTTTTTTATAAGGTCATGATACAACTCTGATGCAAACTAAAATGTGACGTTACACGCAATTAAGCAAATGATAAAACTTAAAGAGAGAGAATCCAGCTGACCTTCTTTGGCCATGAGGATTGCGGCACTGATCCACACAAAAGGAAAAGTAATGGTAACCCACACGTGGTTGGGTTAGCTATGTGAACTATGCTCACATAGCCATGCTTCCTTGGTTTGCACATTTTAGAGTCAACCTGTGGGCAAGGCCTGGAATATCTGACTGTGTTTGGAGATCAGAACATAAGCTCCACCCACTGGGTCATATAAAAGGATAAGAGAGGCTCATGGGGATGATGAACCTGAGGATGTACGAGGGGAAAGACGATGTCTTAATTCTTCATCCTTTTCCAGAGAAACTTTCACTGAATCCTAGGAAAGCCCTATGCATAAAAAGAGGCCAAAAGGCCTCATGTGGCCTTACACACTAAAAGTTTAATAGCAGGGTTTTCAGAAGAAAAACATGATTTTATGCTACATGTTGATGCTTTAGCATATGTTCCCTAATTGACTTCCCAACTGTACCCTGTAGACAGGACACACCTGTTTCACTGGCAGGTAAAATGGAAAGAAAATAGGTACATAATTATACTGGACACTTACGTTTCCAAGTTTCATACTTACCTGAGCACCTGATCCACCTCAGCCTGGTCGGAGGGCACTAGGCCCTGGAGCTCCTCAGTGATGGTTTCGTTGACCCACTGCACTGCGGTGCTGACAGCATCCAACCTTTCTAATTCCTCGGCTTCAACTAGCTCACGTGAAGCATTCTCATGGACTTCAAAGTGAGTTGAGATCACCACAGAACATATGTTCTGAAAACAATATAAATGTGTTCTACATTTTCCCTGCCTTTCACAGGAAATAGGAAATTGAATGTATCCAACTTTAAGGTACATGATATGTTATCACCAATTTCAAAGAGAAAATGAGAATCTATAATTTTCTTTGAGATATTTTTATAGCTATTGAAACACGGTGGAACCCGACTTCAAGAAATGTTTAAAATTATTACCTTGTTAAAATACTCTTATAAAAACCTTACATAGAACTTCATTTTTATCATTGCCTCTCCAAAAAATAGTAAAAAGGAGACAGATTTAATCATAATTATTTTCATGGATAACAATGAATTTTTCTTCATGTAGGTCAGCCTACATATCTATAATTCTATGTAAGTGAGTGAAAGTCACTTAGTCATGTCCGACTCTGCAAACCCATGGACTGTAGCCTGCCAGGCTCCTCTGTCCATAGAATTCTCCAAGCCAGAATACTGGAGTGGGTAGCTGTTCCCTTCTCCAGGGATCTTTCCAACCCAGGAATCAACCCATGTCTCCTGCACTGCAGGCGGATTCTTCACCACCTGAGCCACCAAATCTAGGTAAATCTTTATGTAAATACATGAATCTATAACCCTATCTGCAGATTATAGAACTCATGACATTAGCAGTGTCAGAGTTTTAAAACTATTTTTTCCCCATCTTCAGATCATCTTCAGGTCTGTACCAACAGTGCACATAATAAACCATGATGGCAGATTGTATGATTCATGCTTTGTGTTCATAACTGCCTACAAATACTGTATGTGTATTTCACAGACACTGAATTTCAAAATATTAATTTTCCACTATTTAGACAGTAAATGCTAATAAATGCAGTGGAGCCAAGACAAAGAGAACAGGTTTAAGTTGCTCCCTACCTTGGGAAAATTTTGAATGGTGCAGAATATTTCCACTTGGAGGGTTGGAAGCCCAAGTCCATCCAGCACATTTTTCCCCACGACCTTGCATATGGTGGGAGGTTTTGCAAGTTTAGAAAAGCAGTTTGCCTTCAACACACACACACATAAAAAAACACAAAAATACCACATCTAATTTATTTCTGAAAGGTCCTTCACATTTACTCTAGTTTCTACTAAACCTCTCTGTGAATGTCCTCATTCTGGGATTAGTCTAGCAGCTCTGTGGGAACAGAAAGAGACTTGGATTTAGCCTCTGGAACATGGGGCAATTTGTCTATTGAACTCTCACAGGAAACTCACAGGCGTGTCTTTATTTAAAGGTCCTGGTCCATTCTTTATGAGCCCTAACCTATCCTTCCATCCAAGATGCTGAAGTCAATTAACTTCTAGAAAACTGCGATGCATTCAAACCTAAGAAGCCTTAGTGGGTTCATTATTATTCTCCCCAACAAGGCACCTGATAGTTTAAAAGGTGAAGACTTATACGTAGGCTGTACTTCATTTACCATCAGTTCATGCATAAAACTACATGCTCAAAGAGGACCGTTGGAACCTAACTGACTGCTGAAACCTAAGGTTTCATTGATGTGGAAGAGCAGAGGTCATTCGGAAGTTGATCCAAGAAACAGAAGAAAGAGAATGAAGCTGAGGGAGAAAATCCTCTCAAGGAGCCTGAGTAAAAAGATCAAGGGACTTCCCTGCTGATCCAGGGGCTAAGACTCTTGAGCTCCCAATGCAGGAGGTACAGGTTCCATCCCTGGTCAGGGAACTAGATCCCACATGCTGCAACTAAAAAAAGATTCCACATGCCACCACAAAGACCCCGCACAGCCAAATAGATACACAAATAAAAATTAAAAGATTCACGACTCTGCCCCTGTCCTGAGGGCTGGGAGAGAAGGAAGAGGGGTGAGAGAAGGCCCACCCCCTCACCCTCTTTTATCTTCAGACAGTATTCACTCTTTATTTCCACATAGCAGACCAGGCCTCTGATCTTTCAGTTCAAAATCCAATGACCACAACCTACCTAACTGGTCATCTCACATCCATCGGCAATGTGCCAGCACCGAGGTGGTGCCCAGCAGAACTAAAGCAAAAGCCAATTTTCAAGCATCCATGCATTTTAAGGATGACAGTTTGTTTATTACTGTGTGTGCGTGTGTGCTCAGTCGCTAAGTGTTTCCAACTCTTTGCCACCCCATGGACTGTACCCGTGAGACTTCTCTGCCCATGGGATTCCCCAGGCAAAAATACTGTAGTGGGTTGCCATTTCCTCCTCCAGGGGAATCTTCCTGACCCAAGGATTGAACTGGAGTCTCCTGAGTCTCCGGCAGTGGCAGGCAGATTCTTTACCACTGAGCCACCTCAGAAGCCCAGGTATACAGTAAGTATCAAAATGAAGTTAATAGAATCAGAGAAGAAAAATATTATCTAGTTTAACTTTTGTGTATTGGTGAGTTCAATTCAACAAGTAATGAGCACCTACAATGTACCACATATTGTGTAAGGAGGGAAATAGAACTAACTTTTAAAAAATGTTTAATATGTAACTTAAAGGAGTGACTTGGTCTTGTTTATCACTGTATCACATTCCACAGTGCCTGGTATATTTGGGATTTCAAAAATTGACTCACTGGAAAAGACCATGATGCTGGGAAAGATTGAGGGCAGGAAGAGAAGGGGGTGACAGAGGATGAGATAGTTGGATGGCATCACTGACTCAATGGACATGAGTCTGGGCAAACTCTAAGAGACGGTGAAGGACAGGGAAGCCTGGCATGCTGCAGTCCTTAGGGCTGCAAAGAGTCAGAAATGACTTAGCAACTGAATAACAAGAACAAAATTTGAGTCCTGCATGCATTAATAAAGGCCAGACACAACCTGTCTAACACAACCTTGGGCACACTGTATACATTATATTATTAACTTCTCAAAACAACTCTACAAGGTGGTATCACCTCAGTTCCACAGATCAACAAACTGAATTCCAGAGGGAAACCTGTCCAGGATAAAATAACCAATGTCTTCATTAACCAATGTCTTAAAATAACCGATGTTTACTGCTTTGTAACAGACTTAGTGGCTCACGCCATTTACTTGCTCATGATTCTGCAATCTAGGCTGGGCTTAATTGGGCAATTCTTTGGTTAATCTTGCCTGGGGTCACCTATACAGATTGTCATCTGTAGGCTTGACTCAGATCAGAGTGCTCAAAATGCTTTCATTCTCATGTGCAGTGTCTCAGCCAGGATGGTTGGAACATCCAGGGGCTGGCAGGCCATCTGTCTTTCTCACAGCATATCTGGGAGGTCTCTCACATCTGCTAGGGCCTATCTCTACACGATCTCTCTCTCTTTTGCTCTCTCTAGCATGGCAATTGGATTTCCTTTCAGCATGACTAACTTCCAAGAGGGGGTATTCCAAGAATACATCATGCCAGCCCTTACCAAACTTGTTTGCATCACACTTGCCAAGGTCCTATGGATCAAAGCAAGTCATAAGGCCACAACCCCAGTCAATATAGGAGGGACTTCCATAAGACTGTTCATTCCGGTGGTGTGGTTCATTGGGGACCATCAATTTAACAGTTCATTACTGCTACAAAGCAGCAGAGCTAAGGATCAAATCCAATCTGCCCGATCCCCAATCACAAACTCTTAATCATAAGTTTTATGAAGGAGCAAATAGTATTGCTATTGCCCACAGGGATCTCTCCTATCCCTGAATTCCTCTAGTATGTAAGAGAAGCATGGCATTTGAGCTGGACACAGGAGGTTCTATAGTATTTCAACAGGCAGACAACAGGGGTAGATACTTTAGGTAGGAGGAATAGGATAAGCGAAGGAGAGGGAATTGGGAAACTTCACATTTTAAAAAAAGTCAGCGGGCCCTTGTAGAGGAGCAGGGGAGGGAAGTGTAGATAAGCCTGTATACCAAGGTAGGGGCGAGCGCTGTGAGTCACACACACTGGAATGCGTTGGATCTTACTAAGCGTGCAAGAGGGAACCACAGGAAGTTCTGAGTGAGAGAATGATGGTCAGATATGGGATGAGGAACACTACTCTGGCAGGATTAGTGGGGTGAACTTGATGGGGGAGGGGGAGAAACTAGCTGAGAATAAAGAGGGCCAGAACTGGGGCAGCAACTGAGAAAATGGAGGTGACTTTATGTCACCTGCTGAACATTCGTCAAAGCCCAGGCCAAAACTCCCAGATGCTACAGCCCACAGGGATCTTGCCCACCCCTGAGTTTCTTTTACAAACACACAGTGATCTATTCCTCAGTCTGGCACACAATTCTGTATTACCCGATCTATTACTCCAGTTATTTTATGTATCAGGGGCCCTTGTCCCTAACTGAGGTATAAGTTCCCAAAGAGCTGTGCCAACTGAAGTCCTAGCTGCCTAACAGACTGGGAAGAGCATTACACTGGGGGCAAGAATCCAAGTTTCCAGTTTTAACTTCTGCACTAATTCATTGTGAGACAACAGCTTGGGGTCTCCCTAAAATGAGGAAGTTAGACTAGTTAACTTTCAAGAATTCCCCTGGCAAGAGACTGTGAAAAGAGAATGGAATTGGGAGTTGCATTCACTCATTCACCGTGAGTGTCCACTATGGACTCTGCTAGGTACTAGGGACACAGACCTGGTTTGATTTCTGTCATTCACAATGTTCCTTGAGAAAACCATCTAAATTCAGCGGGCCACGGTTCCTTTATTTGTAGTACGAAATCATAAGGTTTACTTCACCGTGGTCCTAGGGATGAAGTGATATTACAGGAACCACATAACACAGGTGCGTCAATAAACACCTCCCCTCCCCCTCCCCCGAGTTGATGCATCGGCCAAGACCGAGAAAAACAAATATTTGTGGAACATCTCCTATATTAACTGCCTCGACAAGATGTGATTTTAAACCTTGTAGACACATTGCTTCTTCACTGCACTTACATACTCTGCTTGGTGCTGTCATTCTGCCTCACTGTAGTGCGAATCCCTACCAGTTCCAACCATATCTTTCAGAAGGTGGGTGTTGGTTGTACTTACGGGTCTGGAAGTGAGAAAACGCCTGCCTTTGTTTCAACTGCCCACGGCTTTTAAGACTAAATATGCGCCAGATGGTGCGCTGAGCAGAGTAGCTATGTGAAAAGGCGAACCCCCACCCCACCCCTCTCCACAGGAGCTCACAAGCCGCCTGGGGAGGGCTTCAATACAAAATAGGGGGCGCTACAAGGCCGCTGCAGGACGATCAATCCAGGGCGAAGTGGGCAAGACTTTGATCTGAATTTGAAGTTTAGGTGCGAGCTGGTCAGGTGGGACAGGCATCCCCGGAGCGCACGCAGGGCACACAAGCCAAGGAGCCGAGGTTTGAAATCGACAAAAACCTGGCAGAGATGGGAGCCTGCTGGTTACGAGGCCCCAGGGTGGGCTGAAGACTACGGTGTAGCGAAAGCCAAAGGCGTTCGCCCCGTGGTCAAAAGGAAGCCAATGAAGGTTGGTAAACTGAGCTACAAGGTATGAAGGACTGTGATTAAAGGAGATAACTGGCAGCCGGACAGGTCCGCCCAGAGGTAGTGAGGATGCCTGCCAGCCCCTGAGCTGTCGCGCCGTAGCTACAAATCCGCCCAGAGCCCTCTTTCCTCCAGCAGTTTTCAGTCCACCACTTTCTCTCTCGAGATTCCTTTAGCCAGGTTTCCACTCCGCTTCTTCCCTTCAGGGTCCCGGCGCCGCGTCAACCCAGCCGGGCCCCAGCGGCGGCGCGCGTGCGCGAGTCTGCGGCGCAAGCGCCCCGCGTTGCCGCAGCGCGGGGCGGGGGGAGAGGGGCTGGAGGGAAGAGGGTTCTGGTCCCAGGTCCCTACCAGGTGCCCGTAGACGTCGGCAGGCTGGAGGTAGAAGGTGGAGTTGAGCAGCTCTTCCAGCCTGCGCGGAACGTCGTTCTCGCGGTAATACTCCATCGCCTGCTGCTTCAGCTTCTGCAGCTCCCTAGTGGTCCCACAGCTGCGGCCGCCGCCTTCTTCCCCCATGGTAGGAGATTTAAGGCTACTAGCGGGGGTTAGCCTGGGGGCCTGCGAGCGTCCTCCCTGTCGCTAGGCAACGCAGCGAGATCCCGATCTTAGATCTCGCGAGGCTTCCTGCCTTGGGTTCTTCCCGCTTGCGGCTGACGCGAATGGGTCCTCCGCCCTCCTCCCTGGGGGTTTTGAACCCCCCCCTCCTCCCCCCCGGGTTTGGGGCTTATTTACTCTTGAGACAAGCGCCCTCCTGGCGTGGTTTTCCAGGACGTGTTTCCTTGACGGTTTTCAGGTGCGAAAACGGTTAACACTCTCACGAAGCGCTTTTTGTGGAGACGTGAGAGAGGGTTAGTCCCTCCTCGCCCAGCTGGGGACTCGAACCCCGGTTGGCGCCAGTTCTCAGGTGGCCCTGGGACTCGGGCCATCAGGCCTTCCCCACTTTCCCCCAAGTTCCTCGCGATCCGGGAGCTCCTCCGGGCGGCGGCCTCTGCCGGCCCCCTCTCCTGGGGAGGTTGTTAAGAACGCTGGGTGTCCTTCCCTAAGCTGTGGAGGACTCCGCGCAGTTCGTTCATTAGGCTGATGTTTATCTGCCCTGAGCCGTGCAGTGTGCTGGCTGTGGATACCGCGATGTCCAGGAGAGATCCAGCTACTCGCCCTCCTCTGGGAGACTACTGGCGTGAAATTTTACCGTAGAAGGAAGAACAATGTGCGCCCCCCCCCCCCCCCNCCCCCCCAAATTTGGGATGTACCTTAAGGACCGGCCTAGGTTGGAGGTGTTACAGCAAGCCTTGCGTAGGAGAAACAGGAAGGGAGAACTGTCACTGGGTCACGTTCCTTCTCCAGAACCTTCTTCAGAGGCTGCCTGCGTCTTGCCCCTTTGAAATCCAGACTGCCTGCTTGGCTTCATTCTACCTGCCAGGTGTCCCGTGCACTTATACAGCTTCTTAATGTGCGCCCTCTGCTCTTGATTCTTCTGCTGCAGATAAGGGCTGAGATGGACCCGGTGTCCTGTTCCCCTCTGTCCTTGTTCCTGGCCCAAGCAGACCATTTAAAAGATTCATGCTGCACTTTTGCTCATCTGGAAAACAATCTTAACTACTCTGCTACTAACTACTAACTAATCTTAACTATTCTAACTCACAAGTCAGAATAAAATGAGAAAGTGAGTGAGAAAACACTTTGAAACAAGATAGTTATTTTCAATAGAGGTCGGTATTTGTATAAAAATAAAGTGATTCTATAAATACTGTTAAGGAACCCAGAGGTGTACCTCCTTCTGAATTCTGTGGGTGTTTTCTCCAGTTCTCTAAATGCAGGGGTCTCCAACCTCTGGGATCTAATACCTGATGATCTGGGGTGGAGCTGAGATAGTAATAATTGAAACAAAGTGCACGATAAATGTAATGTGCTTGAATCACCCCAAAACCATCCCCCCACCTCCAGTCCTTGAAAAAACTGTCTTCCACAAAACCCCTCCCTGGTGCAAAAAGGTTGGGGACTGCTGCTAATGGAACATCTCACTTTCTGGGTTGTGATTGATCATCATGGGCCTACCTTGTCCTTGGTAGATGGAAATTCCTCCATGGTGGAGCCAAGTCTGAGTCATCTTCACAAGTACAGCAGAGCGTGGGCCTCCCATAGGGACAGAACATGAATAGGTGTTGAGGGAACTTTTATTCAGATAAGCTATTGCTGTTGCTGCTGTTTCCATTCCTCCAAGCACCTTACCTCATATCACTTTAGATGGAAGCCTCCCCCTTCTCTCATGCACCCATCCTTTAATTCCTGTTGAGTCCCACATCTTCAAAAAAGCCATGCCCCACACTTTAGCTCTCACTGTGGCCTTCCTTTCTTCTGAACTCCTTCCCTGCTTGCAGTGTGAGCCACAGGGTTCAGCCCTCACAAATGTCTTGACTCATGTGATGTCTCACTGGAAGATTGGAAGCATCCTGGGCTGGGACCATGATGTCTCAGAGCCTTCCCTCTATGACCTACTGGCCTATTAATTTTTTGAGGACAGGGACTTGTTTTGTCTTGTTCACCATTGCATTTCCAGCATCAGTACTTTATCTGACATGATAGATACTCAGTAAATGTGTTGAATGAATGGATGTATTTTACACATAATAAACACTTAACTCATAAAGGTTTTGTGGTTAATGAGTGAGTAATGAGTACATCAGGCTGGCTTGAGCAAAGCCTCTATTTTCAGGAACAGTGAGAAATAAGAATGGAAAAGTAGTCTGAGGTGAGATCATGAAGGAACTGGAATACCATTCTGTAAGAGTGGGGAGCACCCCCAACCTTGTAAATATAGACTGGGCAAGATGGAAGTGGTGTTGGAGGAGGTTAACTGGCAGCCGTGGGTAGGCTTGGTGAGTGGTTATTAAAAAAAAAAAACAAAAACATAGATGTAAGAGCCTAAACAGTGATGGTAGCAATGGAAGAGAAGGATGAGATAGGTAATAGGAAGGGAGGATGAAAATCACTGAGTGGTTGGATGTAAGGTTAGGGAACCAAAGATGACTCCAGAGGATAACTTGTAGAATTCTTTCTTGGTCAACAGAAATGTGGTAAGTGAGAGAGTGATCTGGTTTTGATGAAGGGAACATGATGCATTTGGTTTTAGCTGTGTGGAGCTTGGGGTATCCCAGAGGAAATGGAGGACTGATGATGCAGATGTAAGGGAACCAAAGATGACTCCAGAGGATAACTTGTAGAATTCTTTCTTGGTCAACAGAAATGTGGTAAGTGAGAGAGTGATCTGGTTTTGATGAAGGGAACATGGTGCATTTGGTTTTAGCTGTGTGGAGCTTGGGGTATCCCAGAGGAAATGGAGGACTGATGATGCAGATGTAAGGCATCCACCAAGAATTTACAGTTGACTAGAATAGATAAATCCTCTGGAAGGAAAAGAGAAACCAATCATCTTGAACTCAGGACCTAAATATTCAGGAATGAATTTATCTAGGACAGGAGGAACAAATGAAAAAGACTTAGAGAAAAAAAAGAAGAAAAAGGTGCACATCCCAGAGTCTAGTGCTGAAAATTTGGGGACTCTGTTAGATGTGTGTGTACATATGCACGGATTAAAGTCTAAAAACATATACATTTGCATGTTAATTGTGTCATCCTTAGGTGATGGGGTCTTTTATTTTCTTCTTTTATATATTGGTAGTATCTGATTTCCCTGAAATAAGTGTATCACTTCTGTCACTTTGAGGCATTACATTAAAAATATTTGAGAGAAATATATTAGATCAAATGTTATAGGAGAACTGAAGACAAAAGATACTTTTAGGAATTCAGTTCTTCCCTTATGGATCATTCCATCTTCTCAAATAAAAACTACAGGCAGGCTTAGTAAGTAAGTAAATCTACCTCCTTATTTGCGTCCCTTATTCACTCAATCAGCTGATATTTATTTAATGCTTACCATGTGTCCGGCACTGTTCTAGGCCCTGGGGGAAACACAGTGAATAAAATGGGTAACATTTCTTCTGTTCATACCACTTAAGTTCTCTTGGCACTTCAGTAGCACTTACATCCTAGTGAACCATTGGGACACTGAACTGAAATAATAATAGATGTGAAAGCATTTTGAAAAGTTGGTATGCTGGGGGTTTAATAGCCTATTGGTGTTGACAGATCCAGAGTAAATACAATTATTATTCATTAATATTCCAATTTTCTCCTTTTCCATAGATATTAGAAATATTAGGGTTGTATCTGTAAAGTACATTTATGCATATACATATGTTATAGACTTAACATATGTCTTGTGTCAGTACCTTGGTGACCGTATTTCCATTTCATCCTGAGACTAAATGCCCAAGGGCACTTACAGAGCATCAGAACTTGAAAAAGATTGAGTGCGGCTCACCCTAAAGATGTAAACTGGGGAATACATGAGGGGAGGGAAATGAAGGGAAGGAAAAGCTCAGGTGATATAGAACGTTCTGGAACATATCCAGCAAGCGAGGGTAGAACTATACTCTCCTCTTTTAGAGAATGGGGCGACTGCCCCATTTTTACATTTTCCTCATTGGAAAGGATGGACAGTGTGGGACAAGGACCATTTGTCTGGGATTTGGAAAACTCAGACTGGAGTCCCAGCAATCTCCACTATCTTCTGGGACCTCATGAATGAAATGAGAGGGTTGAACTAAATCAGTGTTTCCTAACCTTTTTCATTATGAAGACTCCTTTTAAACAACAACAAAAAATTGAGACAGCCCCCTCCCCCTCCCCCTCCACAACCCATGTAACAGTGGCTATGATTGTCATAGTGTCTATGAATTCAGTGGTCCCTCTAGAGGCATTTGTATTTCATTCATGGAAATTTTGTACATATGACAAAAATACATTTACAGGCAAGTCATTCTTCAGTGTCGGGGGAGGGGGGGTGTTTGGTGTGCTTTTGGAATTACAGGCCACTTGCCCACATCCACGGGTTTCTTATGGACCTTGATTAAGAAGCACTGAACTGGCTCTCTTCGTCTCAGATCTGTACTACTTGTGTAGCTCTGAGTCAAGATAAAATACCAGGACTTGTTAGTCTGTTCCTATCTGCTAATTGAAGATCCTTTGTAGAGGAAATTAACCATTTTTCAGTCTGCATTTCAAAAAGATTTTCTAAGCTATGTCAGACATCTCTTAAATGAATGGGGATGAATAAAGATGTATTTGTTCATTTTTCCTTAGTCCTTTCCAACACCTTTATATAAATTAGAACCTGTTTGCCATGACTTTAATCTTCAAAAGTGATTATTTAGATGTTATTTCAGGGTTGCTATCAAGTGCTTATTAATTCTTCTTTCCTGCAGTTCCCCATCTGTGTGGAATATCAGTTTTCATAGGGAACTAATGAACATGATTGCAGGTGCCTTTAATCATAGAATCATAGGAGCTGGAGACAGAATAGATGGAGATGTTGCATTTTCTTCATCTAGAAAATGGGAGTAATAATGAAACCCTTCCTCACCCAGTTGTCATAAATGAGAAATATGATTGCCAAGCTAATTGCAATATAAATAGCTGTAAATGAAATGCTAAGTAATAAAAGTAGGAATGATTTGACTAATAAAAAATGTTTTTCCTAACTCAATTTTTTCATTACTGATGCCTCCTGGCAGTAGTCATTTCTAGTGTAATAGTACTAACAACAACAAAACCCACAGAAACCAACAGCAACTATCATTGATGGATCACTTTTATATGCCTGGGTCTTTCCTTGTATCATCCCGTTGAATCTGCAGAACAATCACAAAAGGTAAGTGATTGGCCCAAGGTTACACAGTTAATAAACAGCATACAGTGAATAAAGAGTAGAGATGGAATTTGAACCAAGGTCTCACTGACATCGGTGCCCACACATTTCTTACTGTGCCCTACTTCCTCTCAAATCTAGAACTTTCAGGCAGATTCTGATGCCTCATGTCATCTTTTGCAAGACTCTTAGCCATCCTCTCTAGCGAAGCCGGTTGGGTTCCTCACACTGAGCTTCGAGAAAGGAGCCTGGGTAAA